ATTAAGGGTGCTCTCCTTAGATCTTATTGAACAAGCACAACTGCTGAGAGAAGGGAGTCCCAAAGATATTTAAGTCTCAAGCAAGGTAAGGTTTAGAGGCAACTATGAGCACCTTGAATTGTACCAGAATCCAAGTGGCAGTTCTTACAGTTGTAGTGTTGCTTGGATATGTCAAAAGACTCTTAACTACAAGAGTCATTGCATTCTGGACCAGCTGTAGTTTCTGGGTAGTCTTCGAGGACAGCCCCAAGTACAGCAAGTTGCAATAATCCAACTGAGAGGTGACCAACATGTGTGTTCCAGGAACAGTCATAATTGTTGCACAAGATGGAGTGGTACAAAGGCCTGAGCAGAAACTGGGAGTCCAAAAGAACCCTCAGATTATGAACTAATTTAGCTCAGGAGATCACAACCCTCTTCAGAATGAAAGATGAAATCTCACTAGTCTCAGATGCTTTGCATGTTCACATCTACTCTATTTGCTGGGATTGATCCTAAGTCTGTCTTTCTCCATCCAGATGTTCACAGCTTCTAGGCACCCCAACTACATCTCCTGTTCAGCCCAGGGTCAAGCTGTACAGCTAGGTACTGTACATACTGATGATACCTAACCCCATACTGGCAGTTAAACTTCCTCGGAAGTTTCATTTAGATGTTAAATAGGAGGGGAGAGAAAACAGAGCCCTATGGCACCCCAGAAAGGAGAGTTTTAATGCTCAACCTTCTCCCATCACCACTACCAACTGGAACCATCCCCAGAGGAAGGAGGAGAACCAGTACAACATAGTAACCCTGACTCTGAACATCCAGAAATGTTTCAGACAGATACCATGATCAATGGTTATCAAAGGCTGGTAAGAGATTAAGTAGAACCAGCAGGACTGTATTAATCTTATCTAGATCCTACTACAGATAATCCAAAAGAGCTATCAATTCAGTGTCATGTCTTGACCCAATATATTATTCAGATACTATCACCCAAGTAAAGTAACACAGAAATGCTGAAAAGGATGTTGATCATAATAGAAGGCTGTCTTACTATAATCTAAGGAAAAGAAATTTTAGTGTGGATAACAGAGATGAAATATTCTGTTTTCCTCTTATATTATTAAGCTGGTGGTCTTTTTGCCTAATACAAAACAGTACATACTTCGTATGTGGGAATATGTGGAACACAAACATAATTTGCAACTGTGTCCTTGAAAGTTTCATATCCCACAAGGCAAACTTTTTGTGCTGTGCACATATTTGCAAGAATTGTGCAAGTCTTTTTTAAAAAATTGATTGGATTATCACAACTGTCTGAAATTTAAGAATAATTTATTAGACAATATTCCTGCATACTAGAAAACACGACATTTCCATTCATTCTCCCTGGGATAGGCTTTTCTATTGTAGTAATACAGGGTATCAGTTTTCCTCTACCATATCTGTCCTAGCTCAAGATTTTAGCAAGAAGATATGTTTATTTTTCTAGGCCGCTGACCTTAAAGAAGATAACCTATAGCCAGCTATGCAGTATACTCTACTGCAATATACTCCTATAGCCAGTTATGCAGTATATATCTATCTTTGGTGCTGGATGGGGTGGCACTGCAGCAGACAGACCCAGTGCTCTATCTGGGGGTCCTCCTAGACTCATGACTCCTGCTTGAAGAGCAGGTGGCAGTCATGGCTGGAAGGGCCTTTGCACACCTTTGCGTTGTGTGCCAGTTGTGACCCTTCCTGGATCAGGAGGCTCTGCTCACAGTCACTTGTGCCCTAGACACCTCCAGATTGGACTACCACAATGACTCTACGTGGGGCTGCCCCTGAAGAGTATCCAGAAGCTTCAACTGGTGCAGAATGCAGCAGCACGGGAAGTAACGTGTGCTCCTAGAAGAGCACATATTACACCTCTGGTCTGCAAGCTGCACTGGCTGCCAGTCTGCTTCTGAGTCCAATTCAAGATCTGATTTTGTGATGGAATGGAATTATGAAGGCCAAGCTCAGGGAGATAAACATTTTCTTAGCTCACCAGAACTGCGTG